TGAACATTTGCTTCATGTTAACAAGAGCCAGCCCCCAGAAATCTCCTCCTATCTTTTTAAGGAGCCTGCCAAACGGCAGTCTGATCAAAGCAATCTAATATGGCTTAAGTGCCACTGTTTGACATTTTGCATTCTTTTATTGCTTTCCATTTTTACTACATAAAAAAATGGGTGATAACTAATATCCAGTTGATCTTTTCATTCTGGTAATAAAATGATAATACAAAGATCTTATTATCCACTCCAGATATCCATCACAGTACATTTTCCAATAACATACTACTCGGAGTGTTTCTTCACTCTGTCCAAGTGCAAAGTGAGGTTAAGTACTCGGCCTCACATTCTCTTTCTCTCTGATACTTTAGACACTGGACTGCAAATAAAAGGAGCTGAACTTCAACCCTTGACATTCTGTCCACATTAATGTGATCTGCAATTTTGCCGTCTTTGCACTAGAGAAACCATTTTCTATGAGAAGCCAAAAATAGTTGGAGGGTCTACCTACTAAAATATTTTGTCAATCCAGAGAGTTTTTATTCTTGTAAGAAAACGAGAGGAAACAGACCAGGAGGAAACAATATTGGAAGTGGGGAGGAAGAGTACATCTTGGTAGGAAGGAAGATCAGGTGGGCGGGAGAAGAGGCACATACACAAGGCATAAAGAATCCAAAGTAATGCCAACAAGCAAAACAAACATCAGAGATCATGAGTTTATATGAAAATCAATTTTTATGTGGATGTAGAGGTGGCCCCAAGCCTTCCTGCGAGCAAGAAGGACATTCTGTAATTATGTCATTGATTTGAAAAGATAAAAACAAACAAACAAAGCAACCAATGAAACCAATAAATAAAAGAAAGCAAAGAAAGAAATACTAACAAAAACGTAAGCATAAAAGTCTCCCTGAATCCATAACATATTTAGTTATTTACAGGACAATTAGGACTCATCTATATCTGATAGGAACACATTTTGTTTTCAAATGCCCAATGTATTTAAACTGTTAAGGATTATAGCACTAACAAATTTTAAGGTTATGAGAAGAGAGAAAGAATAAAATTTGGGATCATTTAAAGATGCAATATATCACTACAAATCCAAGTCTTCAGAAAAAAAATATAGAGAAATACATAGCCTAATGAGTTTGGGAGTATTGTAGGGAACTACTGGACACCAAATTTAAGATTCAGACTGTCTCAGTAACTCTACCTCAGAGTTAACCAAGATATTAGGCTATGTACTTTGGCAGACAAAGAGAATACACAATAAGAATGCTGGCCAGTATAGATCCAACTAATAATGGATTTGAGATCATTTTGTAAGGATTAGAAAATTTCCTTTGCAATCTTTATAGTTCTTAAAAGATGTATTAAGTCCACTAATATGAACCTAGGGAAGAGATGGTCAGACACACCTTTTCATGCAAATAATTCATGTGTCAGTCAGGAAAGTACTACTCAATCTGATTTGGATTTTCTCGGTGATAACTTGTTAATGATTAGTAATTTCTACAATATTTTTTGTAAAATAATCTACAACTTGTCTATTTTCATTAATTCAAATATTTTTTTCTCTTTATGTTAGAAGAATGTGACTTTAGACTCCTTTCTCATCTATCTTTATGAAATACTGTCCAGAGAAGAAATGATATGCTCTAAAATATGGTAGTTCTTTAAGCAACTTCCATACACAATTATTTTATGATGGCAGACTGTTTCTCTCAATACTGCAATATCTATTGAGAAGGCACAAGGCATCTGACTATTCTTTATTTCTATCATGGATAGAAGAGAATGGAGAGTGTGAGATAACACACTTCCATGCTCACCTTCCAGGCCATGAATCTGCACAAACTGACCTTAATTTAATTCCAAGTTGCAGATAACAAACATATTTTAGCAATGATACAAGCTAATGGATGTCAGAGAGCTGGGATTGGTCTGACACTGGGTGCAGAGACATCCCATTTGTAATTTGAAAGATCAAAGCATACATTTTGACACTGAGATGACCACTATTCAGAGAGAAGGTTCTTTTTTAAAAAGTACCCTCTCCACACATGAAAATAAGCTTTTGATTTTTAAATGAAAACAGGCTCTCTTTCCATTTTAAGATTCTTGACAGCTTTTCCTACGAGGGGGGAGAATGGTGGCAAGAAAGAATCTGCCAGAGATGCTCTCTGGAATTCAAATCCACCCTTTCTCCAAGGAACCCAAACAAAAGGCTGTCCTCCCCTGAAGACTCTATTGCTGCATCTACCACTACTCAAACAGAAATGGCTGACAAAGGAATGCACCTGCCATCTCTGATGGTCCCACACGTCTGAGTACATGAAGTTAGATCATCTTCCCTCTTCACCCACTACCTATTTTTCAAGGGCAAAGACTGGATAGTCTGATAGCATATATATTTTCTTTTCCTTATCAGGTAACATCTGCTCTACACTGAGGGGCGTGGATGAAGAAGGATGGAGCCACCAAAGGAAATAGCAGAGCAATTCTGAGTAAGTTGGAGAAGTATGAAAATGTTTCCATCCAAACTTAATAATTTAGAGTTTAATATTAATTCTCAACCTAAGATAATTTTTTACGTTATAGTTTGTATATTTGCTGTGGAAATTTTCTTAAAGATATCACTTGAGGTATCTTTGATATCTTAGCTATGATATAATTTTTAGAGACGGTGGTAGATGGTAGATGGCTGTGATTTAATAAATGTATATTCATCTCGCTTTCAGACGAACTTAAAGTTCACAGGGGATGAATGTAATAAATCAGTCACTCAAACTACAAGTTATACTGAGATACAGATATTTCAATTTATATTTTTATGGGGGAGGAAATGCACTCCAGGTGGAAATCTCTGCTTATTTAATCCCTGTGAGTTAGATTTGCATTATTTGATATGTAAATTCCTCTCTCTCCTAACTTTGAGTAATAACATGAATTCTTGATGGAACTTGGGCTTCTTGCCACATTTTCCCACTATTCCCCAAATAAAGGCAAAAGAAAATGAAAGTGTTACCTGCGCATCGAATGTTCTTTCCAGTGACTGCTGTCAAGTTAAGGCATTTGCAGTCCTGTCCGAGGTGTGCACTGAAAGCTCACAATCATTCATTTAATTCAAGTAATTTACATGTAACGCATACTCCTTAAAAAGGGAAAATTTTCACTAACCAGCAAAAACCTTTGTCCTCAAAGGTATTATTCTGTGGAATATCCAGAGAAAAAAGACTGTGCTTAATATTAGAATCTCGTAATATAAGCCAACTGAAGAGAAGTGTCTAACAAGGGTAATTAGACTATAAATATATATTTCATTGGTATAGCTAGAAAACACAGCATCACACTTCATTTGGTTAATTCCCATTGTAGAATTCCAAATACTAGAATTTATATAGTTACATTTTGTAAATTTAAAAACTCATGCTTTATTGTATGCTTAATATAAATAAACAAGAGTACATAAAACAGGAGTCTAGAAAGGAGGATTTTCCTCCCATTATTCTCTAAGACTCAGGATGTATCAAGAACATCTATAACTGCATTAAGGCACAAATCTAGCTTTGGGAAAGTATTTCGTGACTGCCACATTGCCCGCATCAGTGCCTCAGAGATGAAAGCAAACTGGACCGTGGTGTGAGAATCGCAAAAACTGTGCTCCTTCTCAGGAAGTGTGGGATGGGGTTTGATAGGAGATGATGTAAACTTGAAAAATTCCACTTGTGTGAGAGCTTTGAGAGATTATTTCAGGAACTGTTCTGTTCAAGATGATGTTTAATACCTTGTATGATAGTTTATCAATTTAATTTTTCAGAAGTCATGATTCAGTTACCTTCTTATTGCTATGATTGGAAAGATTCACATTTATGTTACTTTAAAATGAATATTAAAATATTCGAAGACAAATCTGAGTTATAAGATGCATCGTGTTCAAAGTAGTATGTATTTCATTAGTAAAACTTCTTGTTTTATACGTTTAAGACCACCATTTTGTTCCTCAGAGGATGACATAGCTATTTGTGAACACAGCCAATGGTTTTGGGAGTAGACTTCATCAACTCACATTCAGCATTTTCCAAGGATATAGAAAATGCTTGTTCTCATTGACTATAACAATGAGAGATTAGAACCTTGTTAGAACCATTTTATTGACATAGCTAACAACTTTGGTATCACTGGAGGAGATTCCTTAATGTGGTCAGCAAAACTGGAAAGGAAAAAACCTGAACATTTACATAAAGAAATAAAATAAATTTATTCTTAAAGTAATGCTACAACTCAAAATAAAATCACAGTCCTTATATCCTTTCAGATTCTCTAGTCCATAGTGAAATAAAACAGTCCATGCATCTTTTCTGATTCATCATTTGGCATGCATATCACAGATTTGAAGGGTTTTGATTATTTTTGCAGATATGTGATCAGGATGTAAAAATTCATCATGTAAATACTCTTAATGAACAAGAAAAAAAACTCTTGGACAAGTAATTTTCTTTATATGTATACATATAACATTGGAAAATACATTTTTCTAAGTAAAATTTTGGTTGAATTTAGAAGAGTTTGATAGTAGTTCTCAAAATAAAAGGAATTCAGTTTTTTTCTATATTTTGAGTCAAGAGGTAAAAACAGAAAGTGAAGGAAATAGACCCACAGTATTGTTTTCCTAATTTGGTGATGAAGAGAGCTACTGGAGTCCAAGATCAGCCAAAATACAAATGCTACTTGCCTTATTCAAAGGTCTATAGAGGTGTGTGCACCTTCTACTCTAAAATATTTGTCACCTCTTTTCCCACTTAGATGTAGGAACTACAGCAGGAAAGCCTTCAGCTGGACAGATTTCAAAATGAATTTTTACAACCCAGATGATGGACTGGTATACTTCAAAAGTGAATTCATGAGTTTGATAAATGTCTTTCTCTTGCTCTCATTTTTTTTTCCTTACTAGCTTACATCATAATGGAGGAATAACATTTTAAAAATTTTGAATTGGCACTTACTGGAATTACAGTTAATCCTGATACAATCTAGATGGGGAAGAATAGATGAAAAATGAAAATTTATCCTTCAAGGTAATAGCTGCAGACATCCAATAAAATCACAGTCCACCCTTCCGGGGACAGACACATGCAAATATGGCCAGTCCATATCATGTATTCTTTACATACTTCTAGAACCCAGATTCATTGTTAATGTAACTTCACATTGGAAACAACGATAGAAGGTTTTTTTGTTTTTTGTTTTTTGTTTTTAAATGGCCAATTCAAACAAAGCTACATGGTGACAAATCTAAGTGAAAGAAAGAGTTGTTAACTGTCAAAGATGTTTGGCTTAGAGTGGCTGCGACTTTCTCCCCATCTGTGAAAGAACATTATCATTGTTTTCAGCATAATTAAAAAGTGCTCCGTCACAATGGGGTACAGTGCAAGCCCAGCTAGGCTCAGACATCTTGGACCTTCAGAGTCTAATATCCCACAAAGGCCAACAGAACTCTTGAGAATTGTGGTGGTCAAACGGAGAGCAAGTTGAAGTTATTCTAATCTCACCCTAATGTATTTTTTATTTTTGTTATTATTATCATTGGCTGAGGCAAAAAAGGTAACAGCCAGATACTGGCTGGATTCCATGCCTTGTATTAATTGGAAGAAGTAAGAAACAACTGTATTTTCCTTTAGAAGCCTCGAGTGGCTAAGGAGTAATGTCATTCTTCAGAGCACATGAGCCTATGCCTCTCTTGGAGCAAACAGTGTTATCTCTATGTACTAAGTGTCATGGTTAACACTGGTATTGATCTTCCTTTTCTTACACTTCCTTCTTTATAAACAGATTCTCTAAGAACAGAATGCCTGATCTGAATAACACAGACTGTGATAATAAGGGTTGTCTTTAAAGGACTGTGTGGGATGTTTTATGTTTATTTTATGTATAGATACATATTTGTTGGTTTTCGTTGCTGTATTTAATTAATGCCTTTGGGGAACATGAAAAATAGAAACCTAGATTCTGTTTCCATATAGCTGAGTTTGTCATGTGTCGTCAACCGCATCAGAAAAGTGGTTGCAAACAGCCAAGGACCAGCACCTACACAACTCTTTCCACAGAATGCTTTGCTGTTGGAAAATTCCCATGAGTGTTTCCACTTTGACTAGCAGCCCCTTTACTGCGAGTAGGCAATTTTCTTTGAATTGTTGTAGTAACCTATCATTGTCACTAGAGGGAACTCTAACAGAACAGTAAATGACAGTGCAGTGCGTTCTTCAGTGATCTTTAAAAACCACCCTTATTATTTAGCTTTAACTAATATTAATTGAATGTAATTAATTGAATGTAATTGTATGCAATAAGCTAACACTGCAATAATTTTATATTTTATGAGCTACCATTCTGCCCAGCACAATTTGAAAATGTAGGTAGAGTTTCCACAAATGCCTCACCTCATCATAATTTGCTACTCTTCGTGTCAATCTGTGTTTCAAATTTTATTGTTCTTTCTCCATTAATTTATTTTTGTGTGTGTTTAGCATTTCCAGGAAATACAGTAAAACCTCATTAATTTGTACTCCTCTTGGAGCTAATGATAATAATGAAACTTATTGGGCAGAATATTTATAATTCTTTAACAACAGAAATTGCCTGAGAAAAATTAAACAAAACAAGTTGTAGAAGATCAGCTTCAGGAAGAAAACCGAATGCCAGGACTTCCCTGTACACTGATGGCACGATTTGCATGACACGACACCCTAATGACTGATAATTCTTATCCACCCATTAAAATCAGCCTCGTAAGACCTTTCCTTAAGAAGCCTTCCTAGCTATCAATTTGTGTTTTGGAATGTAATCGGAAACAAAACTGTGTATTTTTTTAAGTCTACAATTCCGACTCTTAATTCGGCCTACCCTTCCCCCATATTTCATACAGCTTTGTGAGGTTTTACTGTAGTGACTCTCCCCTGACGCTACAGTGAAGCAGGAAAGCATTATTTCTCTGTAGAAGAGCCTGTGTTTTCGTGTTCTCATGGCTGTTTGCTACGGGCCGCAGTCTTTGGGCATTGAAGGGTTGTGGATTGCTGTTTGGTAGCAGGATATCACCACACAGTATTTCCAAACAGAAAAGATGGGGTACCACAAAGGTGACTAGTCAAAGGAGAAGCCCAGGGAGTAGAGTAAAAGCAACTGTTGATCTACATCACGGAGCAGAAATTTGATATTTTGTGCAGATGTTATCTAAAGTAAAAGCAGATGGATTTTTATTCATCTGAAGGGGTATCCCCTATAGTAAATCAGAGTATCAGTAAACGTAACAGTGGAAATTATTTGAGGGCTCTTCAAGCTTAACAATTTATACTTTCAATTGACCTCATTGATACATACGGCTTCCCTTTTAAGAATCCTCAGTGGTAGAAATCACAAAATGGTAAATTATGTTAAACAAAATGAAACAATTAAAAGATGCCCCCAAAACCTAAATTAATTTAAATGATGAAAATGAGACCATTAAGTATTTTAACTTTCCATGGCAAAACAGGCTACTCAGTAAATGTTTGCAGGCAAAACTGAACAAAAAGTGAAAAGTATTAGTTTTATGGGGGAAGGCGAGTTGTTACCTAGATTGACCGTCAGTTTCACACGCCCTGCATCCAGTTCCAGGCGGAGGGTGTCTGCCGAGTCTCTAGAGGTGGTTGCCATGAGGATTCCATACGCACGCTGGGATCGGAATCGCAAGGACACATCCTCGGCCTCTGTGTGCATCACCACTGGGAGCTGGATTTTCATAAACATACTCCCATCATAGCTCAGAACCGTTGCCTCTACGGATGGGAAATGAATATCAAAGTTCTTGGTCAGTTTGGTACCTTTAATACTTTGAAAGGGAAAAGCGCCACCCATTAATGGCTTCCAGATAGAACACAACACTACAAACCCAACTCATCTTCCTCAGAAATGAGCAATTTTTTTTTTTAAACCAAGAAGAGAAGTCACAGTGAAGAGGACTTCTGTGAAGTCTCTGCTCAAGTACAGGCACAAGAGAGGGCGCTACTCCCCTTTTGGATCGCACAGCCCTTTCTATACAGCATTCATCGTGTTGGTTCATCGATGTTTATGTATGTGTCTCCCTTCTCAAAGGCAGAGATCACATGCTTTTGTCTGCAGCCACAGCATGAGCCTGGGATGAAGCACTAGCAATTACTTCATGTGTGTTTCTATATGGCTAGGCCACTGACTAGCCCTGCAAAATCTGCGTTAGTTCCAAATCTTCTATCAACAAAATGAGGAGGTGCTAGCATCAGGCCTTCACTTACCCTAAAAGTCCATGATTCTAAGAGAAGTTACTATCATTATCTTCTTTCATAATATCTGCCTTCATAGGATCAAAAAAAAAAAAAAAGAAAGAAAAAGAAATGACTTAAATGTAGGAATAAGGTCAACATTTTACCAAAGGTGATGTTCAAAGAGAAGAAAAAATAGTAGGTCCAATCAACAGGTGATGCTTCTTCTGAGTCACTTTGCTTAACAAGGTAATTGATTTTAACAAGGACACAAACTGAAACTTCATTTT